TGCGAAACTCTGCAGTCTCACTCCCCAAACAACCAGAAACTCTGTCACGCATGGAATTTCTTCCTGGTAGCCTCCTCCGATCAGCAGATGTCACCTAAGCCTGATCAAGTTCCAACCATTCGTACCTCGGGGGAAGTACCTCCACTCTCCCAGATGTTCTTGGACGGTAAGTCTCTACCCCTCTGCTTCTCCAGTCACCCACCAGGAAGGTTGCATGTTTCCTTGTGAATTATTCCTTTATTATTATACTGCATACTTTTCCATACTGCAAGTTTCTATACCAAGGTGTGTCCACCCTCATCACATGTCACTGCAAAGTCTCTTGCCTCCGTAGTTTCTTCCTATACAATGCATTTTACATACTACTTTTTTGCAGAAGCAAATGTTTTGGACATCTCCTTGCAGATCTTAGTTTGCAAAGTTGATGCTTTATTAGTAAAATATCTAAAGCAATTTCTTCACAAAGGATTTACCACAAAAGTCGATTTATTCTGAATTATTTGGGAATGATTTTGGAAATTGGGAAATATAGACCATCTGAGTTGAGGTTAGTGTAAACGTAACCCTAGATGTATTGAAGAAGGCAAGTCCGTAGATGAACTTCACTGCTATCAACTCACAGCTCACAGCCCAAGAAAGAAGAAAGACACAGCGACATTCAAGGCACCAGGCTGAGTTTGATATTTTATTCAGAAATCGAGTAAAAGCAGAATTAAGGTAAGGACACAGATATACATTGTTACAGAAGTGATAATAGAAGGAAATAAAGACAATTTGGGGAAAAATGATATGCAAGATTTTTCTCTCCTCGAGAGCAAATATAAAGTCTGGTTTAATGAGCTTGTGGAAGAGAAAGGGCCACAGGACATGAGAATTTCTACACAGGAGGTCTCCCGTCTCTGAAAGAAGAGCCCTTTAAAATTTTATCTTTTTATCGGCCTCATCACTATGAAAAGATAGTTCAAATATAATGGGTACAATAATCACAAATGTGGAAAGCCTTCTTTTTCTTTTTTGCAAAATTGGATCATACTGAAAAGAAAAGATGCAGGATAATTAAGGAAACGAACTATTGAAGGGAGCTTGGTGTTTGTTAAAGATTGAATTGTTGATTAAGAACCATAAAGAACAGTGTGGGTAGGGTGAAAATCAGAACGCGGCTCCAGGGAACACCAAAGCTGGGATGCCGTCACGTGTCTGTGACAGGGTGGAATTACCGCGCGGGCTGGGCTTTATCAGTGTTTAAATGCTCCTCTGACCCGAGCCTCTGATGGCACAGGAATTAGAACTTCCCTGTTGCTCTGAACCGAACGCCGTGCCCGTGTCTGCAATCTCTGCAGGCCGTGTTCAGGCTGCTGGACTTTTTAGAGGCTGGTAGCCATCTCATCGGCCTTTATTTTCTTAATGTCAGAAAGACTTCATTTTACATTTTTTAGCTTTTTAGTTTGAAATCACCATAGTTCACAGGAAGTTTCAAAAGCATCCCAGAGAGGTTGTGGGTACTCTTCAGTCAGAATTTCCCCATGGTTCCATCAGCACTGAACCAAAACCAGGAACATGACACTGCAACAGTGTGTGTGTGTTTGTGTGTCTAAGCCATGTTGACACATATACACTCACGTGACCACCACTGAAACCAAGACGCAGACCTCTGGGCACCACAAAGACCCCTTCATGCTGCCCTTTAACGGGTATACCCCCCCTCTTCACCACCACCAAGAACCTTCCTCGCCATGGCGACCACTAGCTTCTCCCCATCATACAAGTCTGTCATTTCTAGAATGTCGTCATCCAGATGGAATCACACAGTATGTGACCTTTTGAGATGGGTTTCTTACTCAACATAATGCCTTTGAGATCCGTCCAAATTATTGCTAGTTATCATTAGTTTTTCCTTTTATTCCCTGGTATGAATATGCCACAGTTTAACCGTTCACTTGCTGTAGGACTGTTTCTAATCTGGGGCTATTACACATAAAGTCTCCATGAACATCCTTACAGGTTTTTGTAGAAATGTTTTCATTTCTCTGCCATAAATGCCCAGGAGCACATTTGCTAGTTGCATATGGCAAATATATGTTTACATTTTTAAGAAACTGGCAAGCTATTTTGCAGGTGCCTGTACCAGTTTGAGTGAAGGGTGGAAACCTTCCTTCCCCTTCTGTCACTTTACCCTCACCCATTTGTAATATAGAGCTCTTAGATATTTCCTCCACATGCACTGAAAACCACATTACAAGGGTGTTACGGTTTTTACTTCAAACATCAACCATAATTTAGAAAACCGGAGGAGAAGGAAAAGCTTACAAATTCTTAAAATAATTATTCTTTTTTAAAAAATTTTTATTGGGGTAGAGTTGATTTACGATGCTGTGTTAGTTTCTGCTGTACAGCAAAGTGAATCACTTATACATATTTCCACTCTTTTTTAGATTCTTTTCCCATACAGGCCATTACAGAGTATGGAGTAGCATTCCCTGGGCTCTACAGTAGGTCCTTCTTAGTTATCTATTTTCTGTATGGTAGTATGTATATGTCAGTCCCAATCTCCCAATTTATCCTTCCCCACTCCTTACCTCCTGGTACCAATAAGATTGTTTTCTACATTTTGCAAATAGGCTCTAACAGTATACAGATAGCATAATAGGTTATGACCGAATGGGATTCACCCCAGGAACAAAAGTTTGGGTTAACATTTGAAAATCAGTGTAATTCACCCTATTAGCAAACTAAAAAAGAAAAACCATATGGTGATCTCAGTTGACCCTTAGACATCAGTTTAAGTCATTCCTGGTTTTCTGGACTATTTTCTAGCTTCTCTGAATCTCGAAATTCCTAGGCTAGTGTACACCAACAAAGCAGGCACTGGTTTATAAATGAGTCGCAGCATCCGTCACAAAGGCAGGTAGATTCTGCTTCCACCACAAGGTGAGAGGCACTCAGATCTCCCCCAGCTCCCACCTCTGCTCCGAGCCCAGAGCGGTTCCCGGGGGCAGTGGGCAGTGTCCCTCGCAGCCCCACGGACCTCCCCACGGACCCCCAGGCCCAAGACCGGCAGCAGCCGGACCGGCAGGGCTGAAACTCCGAACTTCCTAGGAGGAGCCATCGCCCCATCCTCCTGAGGCTCCCCTACCCAGCAATCCCTCCGTAATCTGGAAAATAAGGGGCTGACGGGGCCCGGGATCTTGTCTGGGGCCACGTCACAGGCCACCCAGGTGGTTAAATGTTGTCAGTGTCGCCTGGCCACGAGGGGGTCACGGTGTTCCAGCTGCTGCTCAGGGGCCCACGGGAGCCGCCAGGGGAGGTCAGCCCGCACATCCTGCCGCGGCCGGGCTCACCTGAGGGCCGCACACGGACTGCCTCGCTAGCCCTGGGAGCTCAGGACCATCCCGCCGGGCCCACCCTCTTCCTGGCTCCACACCAGGGCACCGCCCTGCCTTCACACCCCGTCCCACCACCCTCAGCAGACCCTGCACCCAAACCCTTGAGGGTGGCTCAGTGAGGAAGCCCTGAGCTCGGAAAATGGGGAAGCCCTTCCCTACACCCAGACCCACCAGGTCAGAGGGGCTTCAGCAGCCAGGTGGTCAGGGACCTGGCCCCTCCTCCCGGCACATAGCTGAGCTGGGGCAGCTTTAGGGAGGGGCAGCAACGACGAGGGGAGTACCACCCGCAGCTTGGTGCCCAGAGGCCACGGAGTCGCCTAGGGGGCCTGGGGCCTGGGGAGCACAGGCCCAACCTATCCTGGAGGAAGAGATGCTCAGAAGCCGTTTCTACGTCCCTTGGAAACACACACTCCAGTTCCCATTAAAGGCAGAAGCTCTGCAGTAGGTGCCCTGCACTGAACCTCGGGGCTTAAGTGCTGCTTCTGGGGCATCTAATCCGCCTCATCTCTGCAAGCGGTGGTCCAGCCCAGGCCAGTTAGGGACCAGACTCCCTCTGGACATCACGAATCTATAGACAGAGCTCGCCCCCATTCACTGGCCAAGGCCTTGGGCATCTTCCCCTTTATTCGGAGATAGCCCAAGAAGTGCACAGGTACCCAGGTCACACAAACACACTTCTAGCATCTCAGGACTCGGGGATGACAAACCACGGCCGGCGGGGACGTCCACCCTGTTACCTGTTGTCATAAAAACGATTTTATCGGAACCCGCCACATCCACCCAGGCATTTCCGTCATCTGGGGCCGCCTGGATGCTGTGCCAGCAGAGTTGAAGAGGCGTCGGGATGCAGGGCCCGCAGAGCCTAAAATAGTTGCTATCTGGTCCTTTACGACTGGTGTGCCGACACCTGACCCAGACCAACCCGAGGGTGACAACCAAGGTCAGCAGGACGCTTGTGAGGCGGAAGGGGCAGTAAGACCCTGACCCACCACCATTCACATCCACATGCGCTAGAATTTACCAACTAGAAAATAAACGAGGGCTTCTAGGGGCTTTTTTGTGCTGATTTCTTATCCAAATAATCCCTTTGTGCAGCTCTGGAGAATGCAAGTTTCCAACATAAAAGCAGGGATTCTCCAAGACCACGGGGTCCCCCTGGGCTGGCATCACCCACACTGAGCATGTGTCAGTCACGCGGAACCCACGTGCGTCCTGTCACGGGAGGGGGACCCTGGGGAGGGTCATGCTGTTCCTGCTGGGCAAGGCCTGCCCTCCCTGTGGGTTTGAGTGACAACCCGCCCTGTGAACCTGTAGCCTGTGCCCTGCAAAGGGGGCCTCGGTGCTGAGTCAGCGCTGCGAGCTGCCAGTCCCGGGGTCAGTACCAAGCCGAGTGTCAGAAATGAAAGCTCCCGGGTCATGGTCTCAGCTCCGACGGCTTCCTCCCTCTGAAGGTAAAACTCTGGCCTTGGGTACACGACACGGAACACGAAGCTTTCAAGATACTTTATTTTTTCTCATCGGGTGGCCATTGCATAACATATTTCAACAGCCGTTCCCCCGACGCCCCATTTCTTTCAGAGATTCCCTCCCATCTTCACTTGGTCCCCAGCACATACCTCAGTCCTCAGTTTCTTCGTCTTCCGGTACGGCCAGTGCTGCGGGATTAAAAACAAAGCAAAAAGAAGTGGCCTTTGAATGGAATACTCGGCCACCCCAAGGGAATTTCTTCAAGGCCTGTGAACACAGCTACACGGCACACACTTGGCCATGATTCACTCAAAAGCAAGTTTGGTGGCGGGGCGTCTCTGCTGCCTTGAGTCTCTCCACTCACTCCCGGGGGAGGAACATCTGCATCTCTCCCCGCAGGGAGCACCCTGAGAAGGTGCGTGCAGGGCCTGCACGTCCGCCAGGGCCACGTCCAGGTCCCTGAAGACGTCTGGGCAGGCCGCTCACTGCTCCAGGAAAGCCACGCCTTGTGACCCGTGATACCAAGAGCCCTAGACGGAGTTCCCGCATAAACATGGCCCGGGACAGAGCCGATCACTGAGGACAGTCTTCCCTAACCTGCCAGGGGCTCCGGCCAAAGGCCGCCTAAGAGGGTGAGTGACGAGACAAACAACTAGGCTTCCTGGAAACCAGAGCAGCGGGGGGGGACACTTCACAGCTGCAGGCGCCGCAGAAGGAGGAGACGCTCTCACGCCGCCAGCCAGCACCTGGGCTGCAGCTCAGCCAGCAGTCCCGCTGCCCACACCCCGGCAGGATGTGTCTGAGGGGACACAGAGGGCAGGAGAGGGAAGGCGATGTTTCCAGGAGGGAATGGCCTTGTGGAGACGGGAAGCCTGTGCTGAAGACAGAATCCGCCTTGCAAACCCGCCCCGCAAACCCGCCCCTCCCAGCTGGAGAAGACAGACTTTTGTCCAAACTAAACAACAAGTATAACCCGCAGAAGGGCTGACATGGCTGCCGAGCGTCTTTACCAGAGAAGACCGCAGAGGAAGTAAAGCTGGTCATTCCCGCCGCCTTACCGCCCTCCCTACCGCTCTCCGCGCTTTTGTGCGACGGCTCTGTGCTCGGGGCCTTCGACCCCGCCGGCCGCTCGCCCAAGGGCACCACTTCCACTTGAGCGCTGGACTTGGAGGACAAAGGTGCCTCTGTAGGGACTTCCTTTTCTCTCCTACTCTCTTGGACAACTCTGATGGGAAGAGAGTTTTTATCACAATCAGAGAAATTAAGGGTGGAAAACGCTATGGGCCGCCCAGCCCTCGGCCAGGACGTGCCCCTAAAAACATAGGTTCATGATCATGAACGTGTATTTGCCAAGAAAAATGCTTTGTCTCAATAGTCCTCATTTTTGATTCTTACACGTGCTCTAAACAGACTCGGCACATGACACCCAGGCTTCCAAGGACAGAACGGGGAGCATCACATGCAGGTCACAGCCAGGCCAGTCCGTCAAGACGCCACCCGGCACCACTCGGAGGACGAAAGCGGTTTCCCTCCTTGTTGGACACAGTGACTCAACTAATCTCAGTGGCTTTTGTTCATGTCACAGGTGCCAGGGCCCCGCATGAAGGCTGAATTCCAGGCCTGCCCGTGGACCACAGGTGACAGCCAGGGCCTGGTGAGGTGAGTCCGCACCACTGACACCGCCCGGGGACTCGGGTCTGAGCACACGGCTGCATCACGACCATCACAGGCCGAAGGACAGGGCAGCCTGGGTGTGGGCCAGCGGCCGGGGCTCTGCAGACCCAGCGCTCGCTGGCCATGAGGCTGAGGCGTGACAAGCCAACCTGGAGATGTCAGGTGTCCTTCGATGCCACTGGCATCGCTATCAAGACATAGGCTGGTCCCCCCAGCAGGCTCGCGTCCACAGAGGGCCCTCCTCGTGCCCCATGGCAAGGCTGGGGAGGCACCTGCCCACACCATCCTGTTCGTCTCCCTCTCGGGTCTGCAGGTGAGGTTCAGAGAACCAAAGCACTGACCTGTAAATAATGGTGACGATAAAGTCCCCGGCAATGATCACGATCAAGGCGGAAAACACTTGCACATAAGCTGGAAAACAATTTCAGTTCATCATTTGGACCCAGGTCCGTCACCAAAGGGAGGCTCCCCGGAGTTGGCCACGCCCTCCACCTACCCCTGAGGCCCAGCTCCACCCTGAGCACCTGCCTCTCCACCTTCTCCCCCTGGAAACACGTCCAGGATCCAAGCCACTCTTAGGGGGAAGAAGGCTCCACCTGCAGGCCCTCAGGGCGGCCCGTGGCTCCCAGAGGACCCCTGAGGACAGCTGTGGGGAGAGGCTCCCTCGTCTGTCTGTCCTCCAGAAAGAACAGCACCCGGCCTCCTTGCCTCCTGTGACCGGGGCCCGCACCCTGCCCCCGGCTTCCTGGAAATGGTCCCTCAATACTCAGGTCAATTGTCCCAAAACATCAGGAGATGTTTTTGGGTGACCAATCCCACAGGTCCGATTTCAAACTTCATGGGCTGAGCTCTCCTTTATTAACGAGGGATGTGCACTGCCCCAAATTGCTCACGTCTTCTCGAAGCCCACCCCCGACAGAAGAACCTGAGCCTTTCAAGGTGCCCCAGGGGCAACCGCTACCCTGGCGCTTCCCTGTGCGCGAGCATCCTCCGGTGTGAATCCCTGGCCCCTCTGCATGCCGGCGAAGGAGGGGGAAGGCGCAGCTGGGCGAGCCCCACAAGCCTTCTCCAGGGCTGCTCCAGCGCAGGGGCCTCGCGGCGCCCAGGCTCACAGGCGGGCCTGGAGACCAGCCTCCCACGAGGACTGACGCGGGGCCCCCACCGGCGGGCCCGGCGCTCGGGCGACTGAAGCGCGGCATCCGCAGGCCCGGCAGCCCTGCGTGAGCGCTGCTCCGCTCGGTAACCAGACGCCCTTCCGCCCTGGGTCTATCCTGCACGCTGTCTTCACCTGGCTCACGTCAGGCCTTGAAAGCGGGAACGCGAGCACGCCGGCCAGTACGGCGCCGGGAGCGGCTCGCGCGCGGTGGCACTTGCCGGGCCACCGGCACTGCTGGCCTCTCTCCCACCGCCCTTCCGCCCCTTCAGGGGAAGGGGACTGGCTGGCTTGCAAACGCCGACCTCGAGTGACGTGATCTGCTTCAATTCCCTTACTTCTTCCCACTCAGCCGTTTCACCTTAACCAGTAATAACATTATCAGACATTGTCCCCGCTTGGGCGGTGCTTTCCTGGGGCTGTGATGACGGAGGGGCGCCACCACTGGGCAGCTCGAAACCACAGAGACGTATCGGCCCACAGCCTGGAGGCCAGATGCCCAAGGCCAAGGTGACGGCAGAGCCGTGCGCCCGCTGAAGGTTCTGGGGGGTGGAGGTGGGGATCCTTCCTGCTTCTTCCAGCTCCTGTGGCTCCCGGCAACCCCAGGCACATGGGCGCATCACCCCACCTCTGGCTCCGCCATCACACGGCCGCCGTCCCTGTGCGTCTGCCTTCACAGAACATTCTCCCCGAGGCTGTGTCTCTGTGTCTCCTCTGATTAAGACACCAGTCATGTTGGAACAAGGGCCCACCTCCTCCAGGATGACCCCACCTTCACTCATCACATCCAAACAAGGTCACACAACAGGTACTGGAGGCTAGGGCTTCGGCATCTCTCCTCGGGGGACACAGCCCAAACCAGAACAGAAGGTAAGCGATGGTTGTAGAGAAAGCTGCGTCCCAGGATGCGAGGATGACTCCAGTGGGACCCGCACTGGCTAATCTGCAGGGGCTCTGGCAGTCGTGCGGGGCACGGGGGTCCTGGATGTGGGGCTGAGGTCAGAAAACTGAAAGGGGTTGAAGCCAAATAGCTCAGCAATGGGAACACAGGTGCTCGGTTTCCTGGAGCTGCCGGAACTCAGCGAGCAGAGGCTAGTATACAGCAGGCGCTCACGCTCGGGAGTTCACAGGGAGAGGGCGGGGGCTGGTGCTGGATACAGTCTGCCTCCCCTCGACGGTGACCGGATTAGGAAACTTCCTGTTGGAGGATCCTTGCAATCGGTTGGCTTCTTTCTTTCCACAATGCCTTTCCCGTGGAAGTGCGTGCGCCTAGGCTCACCCCCGAATCCCCAGGGCCTCGAGACGCCTCCAGCGATTCTCACCTCCTGGAATTTACACCGTGGTATAGACGCTTCTGCGGTGTATGGGGCTGACCTCTGAACCCCCAAGGCGAGGTCAGAGCCACCATGGCTCCTACCCTGCTCTTTCGCCGCTCGCTGGCTCCGGGGAAGACCGTCTCATGTATAAGGACGTGCAGGCAGACTTGTGACAAGGTGAGACCCACGGGGCAGATGGCGCAGCCCCAGGCCGGCCTCGGACGACTGGCGCAGCCTCCTGGAATCTTGACTACAATTCCCATGAGTCACCGGAGCCCAAACCACCCAGCTAAGCCCCTAAGTTGTTGCCTGAGGCCACTGAGTTTTGGGTCATCTGTCACACGGCGATAGACAACTAACATAGGGGGTCCTAGGCCTTGACACAAAGTACTCTTTAAACGATATCAAATGAATGGAATTGAAACGAAGTGCGAATTAGGAGCTTTTAAGGGACAGGAAGGCAACCCACGAATTCTTGGATTCCAAGGAGTGTATATTCCTTAGTGTGGTTTTGTGTCCCGGTTCATGAAATTCAGAATCTGTATGTAAGTGAATCCCTGTTAGTGAAACACACACATTTAGTCAATGATTTAGTTTTCTACCGTCAGCATGTCTTCTACATCTTTCCATGCGCGAGTACTTTTTGTTCTTGAGGTCAAGCCCCTGAAGGCAGAGACTGAACCTCAATGATTCTCTCTGCACGGTCTCTGGCCAGCTCGCTATTCGTCACAAGCAATATGTGTGATTTATCATAAAACACAGACTATGACTGATCACTCAGAAACAACAGCAACTGAAGGAATATCTTGGCAAGTCCTCCCCCAAATACAGTTAAACGAAAGTTTTGAAATCGTCTCAGCAAGTCCCATGAAGAAACTGAAGTCAAACACTTAGAAGAAGTGACAGGTTAAATACTGTACCCTACAATCAAGACTGAGGAATGAAAGCGAGTCATCCTCTTTGAATCCCCAATTCTTTCTCAAAGATCTAATGCTAATTCCCCAAGTTCATGTTCCTAATAATACAGGTTATTCCACAACACAATGTGCACTTCAAAGCAGCCAATGTAAGAAGTTGGTGAAAGGTTTTCATAACATGGAATTACGTGTACAAAGAACTCATAATACCCTGTCACCGAATACTACAACTTACACGGTACAAAGGTTCGCTCGCCGTCTTGAATGAGAAGGATATCAAAGAAATGAAAAATAATTTGAGAGCACAGTGAGGACCCAAATGCAGGGCTCACTGCCCAGACTCTCCCCACAGATGGCCCCACCTCTTGAGCTCGAAAGAAGTCTGAAGAAATAGCCTAGCTCACACAACTCATTTATTATAATTGGAAGAGTGGAAAAAGGATTAATACTCACCTCCATGCAAAAATGACACACCCACTTGCGGAACAATGAGCCCTCTGCAAGGACAAAAAATTCTTCAGTTCGTGTTCTTTTCTGGGTTCCTTAAGGACACTAATAATTAAGGTGCTATAAAGAATGAGGTTCATTTTTCAAATAAGTGACAGGCATCAGGTGATGGCTCTAATTTAAATGATGTCTGAAATACTAACAGTTACAAAATGGCCAACTCCCACAATAAAACTCTGATGAGAAGGTGCTCAGGGGATGGAACAGGTGAAAAACAAAGAAAAAGCAGCAGCAGCAACTTGGATTTCTGTTCCTTTGCTGGCTGCATTCTTCCCTGAATGATCCATTTCACTGCCTTATGCTGTTAGGGCTCCATTTCACTAGGATGTGAGTAAATTGGGATAATTAATGGCCAAAGACTATGCCCTGTCCTGTGACTCGACCTGGGAATTGAATGCCTTTTGCCTCTTTATATGTAGAAGATTGAAGGAACAAACTCACATACCCTTTGGATGTTAAAAGTTTTAGGAGCCCCACGTGGTAAACGTCTCAGAAAAACTAAGTTGCATACGTGCCTAGGACACCAGAGTCCTCTAAGAAGCAAAACTCCGTGACGGAAATGAAGTGAGCCAGGTTGTAATCGTTGGCTGCTCTCCAAATAGTGATACGTGTGTGCGTCCAACTGCTAAAACCACAAAGCAACAAAAGGATGACAAGTGCAAAAAGCAGCAAATGATGGCCAAACCACCACCCAGTGCCACGAAGTCAGCTTCAGGAGTGCCTGTCACATCCCCCAGTGAACGAGCAGCTGGGATGCAGCAACGTGATGGGTCATTCAACAGTGTAAGAGCTGAGACTCATCCAGCTCTCTCAAGTAAGATGCCATGGGTTTTACAATGGGACAGATGGAGGAGAATGAACTCCTTTAAAAAAAAAAAAAAAAAGCACTATGTCTTGTGGTACCTCTCTCACTACCCCATTGTGTACAACTGGACTAGAGGTTCATTAAAGCCCAAAATTAACGTTCAGGGTGACATCAGAAAAAATGGCAGAGCAGGAGTCCCTGCCCCCAAATACCCTCCTTCAGAAAAGCAATGAGAACAAGGGTCAAAATTGAGGTAATAAACTTTTTCAAAACTTTGGAAGCTAACCACAATCTTGCAGCAGTCTCTTTATTCAAGATGAACAGGTGAATCTCAGTAACAACAGTGATATTTGGACATTTTAACATGCCTGCTCCCACCTCTCCTGCCCTCTCTCCAGTTCCATGATAGTCATGAAAACCTACAGCCCACAGTCCTGGTGACAACCAGCAGCTCTGTACCACCGGAGGGTAAGGAACAGGACTGAAGCTCCTTCCAAGTCCCATTCCCAGAAAATGGTCACACTTCGTTCCATCTGGCGCTTCACTGGAAGACCCCACTCGCAAGGTTGTCTTTATGTGACTGGACTTGGAGCTCATGTAGTGGGAACAGCCTTTCCCTCAGCCATTTGCTGGAAATAATCGGAGGCAGTTGTGGAGAATCACGATGGCTGAGGTGGTTGAGAGCAGTCGGGGGCAAACAACAGGCTGACCAA